CCATAGTCATCTGGACGGCTGGGTGGCAGTGGCAAGGTAGACCTGCTTTGGACACACAGGTCTGGGGCTGGGAATGCCATTAAAGGACCCGCAGCAGAGAAGAGTCCTGCGAGTGGAACTGAGAGGGAGATGGAGAGCTACAGGGAGCTGGGAGACGGCTACAGCAAGGGTCTGCACTGTGCAGAGAGTCAAGAGGATGAGCAATGGACTCTGTCCAGCGGCTGAGCCCCTAGTGACTAGCCCAGTGGCACGGTGGACAGATGACTTGGTCCATTGACTGAAGAGTTGCCACCAGACTCTGTGGGAATGGAGGCCAGGTCATTTGCTTCCTCTACACAGCTCTCTCCAGCCCTTGTCCTGCCCACAGCTGGCTCCATGGTGAAGGTCACTCTTCAGACCAGCAGTGGGTGCCCCCATGACCCCGGGACCAGCATTTTGGCTTTCTCAGTCTGTGGGTTGAACTACCAATGACCACGAGCAAGTGGATGCGGAACACAGAACAAACAAGAGGACGTGGCCAAGGTCAGGGCCAGGGTCCCATTCCCAGTGCCACCCTCAAATGTCAGATCCTTTGGCTGAAAGTGGGACCGAAGACAGATCCGAGGAAGAATCCTGGGAATTGGCACCTGGATTTCCTTCAGGAACTCACTACAAGAGATGGGTGCCATGGCCCTCCATCCTCCTCGGGTCTTCAACCAGTCCCAACGTGTTTGTTCTCCTAGATGTCACAGCAGCTAGAGGCCTGAGTCCATGGGCTGGGGACACGTCTCAGGGGAAGCACCCGGGTAACTCAGCCCGTGTCCCTGTGCATGAATACAGGTTCCACAGCACGTAGGCACTCATCTGTGATCTCCCTTGCACCATGAAGCTGGCTCAAAATGAAGCCAGGAATATGGTTCAAATTAGGTCAAAGCAGCCTTTTGACCGTTGTGATAGGACTCACAAGCACAGATTGTTGGGTAAAGCATGTGAATGAAGAGATTAATTCTATCCAGTCAGTGATGTGTGTGTGTGTGTCTGTGTGTATGTGTGTGTGTCTGTGTGTGTGTGTCTGTATGTGGGGGGATAATGTTTCTTCTCTTCTTTTGGATGAAGAGCTTCTGTAACCTACTCATTTCCAGCTCCTCAGGGTGAGGGTGTGTGGAGGTAGCTGTTAGTCAGAATGGAAGACGCCTGGCTTGGCACTTGACATGAGCCCCACAGGATCTTTATGACCAGGAGTGGTCAAGACCTTGGTTTTCAGCTATGCTTCCCCAGAAGAAAGTGTCCAGAGAGAAACCAAACACTGGCGGAGAATCGCTGACTATGGGACCATTTTGTAATACTTGATGGAGATTTATAAACAGTACTTTGGGATGTTTGTTTGTTTGTTTAATAAAGTCAGCTAGTGGCCTTGAACTTTATCCTAGACGTGAACCATCTGTCCAGAAAGCTCACCAGGGGACCCGTCGTATGCAAAGCCACAGGAGAGCTTTGATGCTCTTGCCATCTATTTATGGCGTGAATCACCTTCTTTCACGTGTCTAGAGTGGTGCCAGCCATGGTCAACCATGGGGAGTGAGAACACAGTCACCCCGGTTTTTCGGGGTACTATACACCACGTGCTCCCGACAAGGAACCCTGGCTACAGGAGGCTGATCACTGCTCAGAGTACCAGCTCTGGCCGTCCAGCCTCGGCACCACCTAAGGGCTCACCGAGAGGCAGATTCTCAGACCTTAGAACTTCTGAATAATACTTTGCATTTTAAATAATCCCCAAGGAATTGTACATATGTTAAAGTTTAATAAGCATTTGTCTAAAGCAGTAGATTCAACAATTGATAATCATTCATCCCCCGCAAAGGCGGGAAGAATACTTTGGGACATAAATGCACAATATATGAAATTTTGCCCTATACTAATATATTATGCATATTTTTAAGTATGCAAAAGTATATACATTGGAAAGGACCAAGTAGAAGCTAAATTTGAATGATTCCATTATTTGATTGCTATTACTGTTCCCATTACTGTTGGAGACACTTGTGCTAAGGAGACAAAGAGAGAAGAGAAGGGAACCTCAGAAGGCTTTGGAGATGGTCAGCATACTTAGGACCTCATGGAACATGAAATGCACAGAAAAAGTAATTCATTGGACTAAAATGAATATGTCTATGCACATGATTTTAATTATCTCTGTCAACTTGACAGATGTGCGACTAATTTTCAAGGTAGGATATTAAAGAATATTCTTTGTCTTGTGAATCGGAGTAAGACATCTAAATTTTTATTTCTAGGTTGATCATTCAAATCAGTGAAGTACCCCACCCATGCCCCACCCCCAATCTGCCTGTCTGTGAATGGGCCTTCTCTCTGATCTAAAATACCATTTATGATATCTTTAAATGGGCTACATTGGCTATGTACATGGAGGGCTCTGAGTTCGCTTGAACATCATCTCTGTTTCTCCTTCAAACATTGATTCTCTACCATATGCCAGGCCTTATGCTTAGCATTAGAGATTAAAAGATAAATTAAACACCTATACCTCCAGACCTGTCTTTTATGGGGAAAGACATGTTCCGAAACACATCATTACAGCACTTTATTAAGTGTTGTCACAGGTATGGACACCCTGCCAAAGGCAGAAGAGAGGAACAGGATAAATTCCATCTGAAACAGAGGTGACATTTCACTGGGGCTTTGAGGGATGAATAGGAGTTTGCCAAAGGACACAGGACAAAAGGAATCTGGAGTGGAGGTACCTGCCCAAACAAAGGTATTGGGCAGGAATCTGCTTTATCAGCAGTCCTCTTGGACGGATTGCAAACTCGTCAGTCAATGGCATTAAGCCTTTAGTTAACAGCAAACGATAGCCCTGATTACTTACTGAAAACTCAGTTCTCAGATTGGTACAATCAAAACATCGCTGAGAGTAACTGATTTCATAGACTTGGCCACGACAGAGTGTGGAAAGTTTTTCAGGAGAACACTGTGAGTACTTCTCATTTACAGTAAAATCTGGAATGCTTGAGCATGATCTGTGCTAGGGAAATTGAATTTTCAGATTAACTGCATAAAAATGGAAAATCTGGTTGGAAACCCTTTCTAATTGTGTTTTCCTTTAAAGAGATAACTTCTGCTAGCATTTTAGAGGCACTGCATTATAACATTACCTCGACAGAGAGAGAGAAGGAAAAAAAGAGGATTACACGGTACATCCAACTCTATTTATTGTTTTTTTTAAACACATTTTCCATTTTGCTTTCATTTTTAAGGACTACTTAATATTTCAGTTTATAAATATTTTATACATTGAAAACCATGCTGCATTATTGGTGATCTGGGTGACCCCCAGGCTTCCTGGGGCTCAGACGGGGGTTGCTTCTTGCATGTTCTACTGTCGGGGGAAAAGTTGTGCAGGATCATAGTTCCAATTCTGCTTGTAGACTGAAGTGCTACATATGTCCCTCCTGTCCCTAGTGAAAGTCAGGTCCATCAGTGCAGATGCTAGTTCTGAGCCCTGGGTAGTGTCTCCCAAGCACTCCCAGGACCTGCACCTGGACCCAGGGTCTCACCCTAGGTGGGATCCTCCGGCATCAGGATTACCTTTGGAGTGTAAGAATGAGCTCCAAGCTGCTACAACATCCAAGCATTCAAACGACCTGGGTGTCCAGTAACATGTGCCCAGTGTAAAAGGTCCAGTATCCTCTGGCCAGTAAAGCACCGCCGCACCCTGCCCCACCCTGCCCCACCCATGCCAGGAAGCCAGGTGTCCTCTTTGAGATCGAGTCTCCCTCACCACCTCGTGCCAACAGCACCTGTTAGAGAGGCCTGTCGGGTCTTCCTGGGACCTTGGCACGGAGCTCTGCGCTTTTCTCAAGTTGCTGGCACTGTCCCCGTCCACGTTTCAGTAATGTGAGCTTGGATTACTGGCCGGGCCCACTGAACAGACTCTCAGCAGCTACGCCTGCCCCTGGCCAGTCCTTTCTCCATCTTGTCGGAAGGATCACTTTAACAAGCAAGTCTAGTCCTGCCTCTTCCTGGAATAAATGCGAAGACATTCCCCATTCCCCTAAGACAAAGGTGACAGTCCTCAGGAAACCCTGCGTGATGTAATTCTGTGCCTTGGTCCTGCCTAGCCCCTCTGTCCTCTCCCCTACCTGACACCCTCCCTACTTCCTGGAAGGCACCAAGCTCCAAGCCACCTTGGGCTTTGCAGATGCCATGTATCCCTGAAACTCACCCTCACCTGGCTTGCCTCTTCCCCTGCCCAAGGGCTTCTGCCACCCAATGCCACCTCCTCAGGGAAGCCTTCCCAGACCCCAGACCAGAATATGTCATATGCCTCATGTTCCATTCTGCCTCTCCAGTTCTTCCCATAAATATCTTTAAGCATATCTTGTGGAATGATTTGCTTAAAACCTCTCCTCCCTGTCCTATTCTAAATACACCAGGGTGAGGACCAAGGGGATCCTATTCACTGCTGGATCCCAGCACCCCACACTGACCTTAGCACATGCTAGGTGCCCAATAAACTCTCGGCACACAAAAAAAGAATACATGTTGAAGGGTTGCATTGTCTTTTCACCTTTTGGATGTTTTTTCAAATTGTGTCTTTATAAATGTTGAGGATGAGGGTTTAGGGGAGGAAGGTTCCTATGGATTTATACGAACTTCACATAATCAGAACATAACCCTCTGCTGTTCCTCTGCAGTAAATGTGATTTCTTTTGAGTAAGTCATATTTTGTGTTTTATTGATTGTACACATATAAGGATAACAGCTAACTCCTGTGTAATAACTGGTATGAGCAGACAGATTCGTGTCCCGTGACCTGTCACAACCCTGTGAGGTGCCGGACTTGCTGCTATCTCCATGCTACAGATGAAGATACTGAGTGTCAAAGTCTCAGTTGTCCCAAGTTGCACAGCTAGTGTCAACAGGAGCAGGCTTAGGTGTCCTTAACCTTTACACTGTCCTGCGTCTGAAGAAGTGCTGGGTGTTTTCTAAGTACAGAGGTGGTAATGTTCAACCTGGCCTCTGCAGGAGAGGGATTTAATCAAGAAGCAGGAGAGTGGAGGACCTTCAGGCTGGGTTCCAGGTGTGGAGCCCTGAGGGCACTGAGGTGTTTGGAAAACGGCAGGAGCGCACCCAGGCTCTGACCTGGAAGGAACAAGCCCCAGAGGGAGTGAGAGCCAGGACCTAAGAGTCCTTTAGCTCCGGGACGGTGTTGGGGCTCTGCCCTGTCAGCAGCGGAGCCCCCGGAGGACTTGTGAGGGGACCGTTGTCTGAATTCGTGCTCTGCAGGTGAGCACGCTTTCTGTTTCCCGGTAAGAGAGCGATGGACCATGGTAATGACCAGCTGCATGTGACTGAGCCAGGATTAACTATGACATCCAGCTCCGTGATTCTGAGACGTGTCACGCCAGGTATGAAGACCCAGGATTATGTCCGTATCTCGGGTGTTTTCTGCCATCCTCTTTTGTTTCTGGGTCAGGGTGCCACTATTCTAGAGTAGAGGATGTTGGAACAACTCCCCGCGGGTGTTGCTCTGCCCGTGTGAACACTGAAGATGTTCCTTGCTAACCTTGGTATGTGCAGCCCTGTCCTGTTGCAAGGGTGTTGACTTGATTCTAATTGTTAAGTATCCAGGCTATTTTTATAAAGAAACTGTATCTGAGATGGCTGGCTGCGTCTCCGGGGAAAGTCAATCAAGAAAGGTTCAATAGGTCGGCCTGACTTCTGTGACATAATCAGAATCATTGCATTTAAAATTCACAGGTTTAAACCCAGTCCAGAGAGCCTGGGGGTGGGGGGGGGGAACACAGGAGGAACTGTGGCCTTAGGAGAGAGGGAAAGGGAGTAGTAGTGTCTTTCCAATAACCTCTCACTAAAATTTATGTGTTTTTTGCTCTAAGGGTGTACAAAATACCATCACTGTATTGCTGCAACTGTGACCTTGTCTTAGTAGCAGGCACAGATATCTCAGTATCACATTATATTTTTGGGGAGATCTTGAATCTGCTCACCACAATTCAAAGAAATAGTTTTTGTTTGGTGATTGGAAAAGAAGCACAATTGGGGGCTTTTTTCCCATATTGTAATAAGGGCATTTTGATATTGGTGGTGTCCTCTGGAACCTTAACTAGTGTACCTATTTAAATACCTCATTCTCAGAAGACACTCATTTGTCTCACGAATACAGCAAAAGGGACCATGATACAAAAATGGTTAAGGATCCTGAGTTGAAATCGTTACAAGTGAGGCCAGCTTATTAGCCTGGTGAGACCTCCAGGGACCACACAGGAAAAGCTGCCCGCCCCCCACCACCCAGCACACAATGGAGGGATTTGGCGTCAGAGTTCCCAGTACTGTTCTTCCCAGAATGCCCTCTGTATACTAAAACCTTGTCTTTAAGTTGTTTTTTGGCTTTCTGAGCTTTTCTAGAACATATATTTGTTCTTCCCTAGGGTTGACAGGCATTTAGCAAAAAACTAAAAAACATATCTATATATACATATATATGTGTATATTTATGACGAGTGTGCTATCTGTATCTCTACATTTAGTACATATACAAGTATATAGAAAGTTCATATATCTGCATTTCAGATAAACAATGAATAATTTTTAGTATAAGCCCGTATCAAATATTGCCCAGGGCATACTTATACTAAAAGTTTTTTGCCGTCCATCTGAAATTCAAATTTAACTGGGCATTTTGTATTATAACTAGAAACCCAAACACCACCAAAGCTGGTCCAACATCCTCCAGCTAATTAAGTGCAGATGGCAAGAATGTCTTTTCTTACACTGTTTACTGACGGAGATTAGTTCACTGGCAAAGGTCTACCACTTTGAATGTGAAGGCATTTTGAAACTTAAACAGGTCTTATTATCACTTAGAGATCAGAAGCATCTGTGTTTTCAACTGTGGGGCAAGAAAACAACTCACAAATATTACCAGTCCTTAAAATAAATTGACCACAAAGCAAGAATTTGGGTATTAACTGCGTTCTCCTGGGATCCTGTGAGATCCAGTTTCTGTATCAAGAAATGTGGTCAAAGCTTAGACTAACGACAGTGAGACTGGATTGTGAAACGTCTTGACACTCGTCTCGTTGTTAAGTAGCTTAGTTCCAAATCAAGCAAAAGTCCTAATTTCCTTTGTCTGGGGTAAGATTCCCCATGGGATAGCATGAAAATCAACAAGGAGAATTCCTCCCCGTATGCAGGTGAATCACACCAAAGTCCACTAGTCGTCAAGTTAACCATAAAGACCAGCAACTCCAAATTCATTTTCAACAAAAGAAAAAAATAGCACAAAACCAGAAAAACAAGCCTGGCTGCCTGAAATCAGTATCTATATTTATAATGTGCTTTCTATGTTTCCATGTCTTTGTCACTGTCAAAAAATATTATAAATTGGAGGCAAAGAAAGATGCGGGTGAGCGGTGGAAGGTGCTAGACTTAGTCTTCACAGGAGGGAGATGCGATTGGGGGAAGCTCGTTCTGAGGAACTGCAAGTCACATATGAAGTTGGTAAAAGGGTCGCGTTCCAGGTCCTGCAAGTCCCCGTGCCAGAGGAAGACAGAGAGAACCGGCCGCACCTCCTCGGCTTCCTGCGGGTTCTCTTCGTCTTTCCATGCTCCAGCTATGCCCAGTTTAAAGTTTTATTAAATAAAATAAAGTGAAGAATCTATCTGTGTAAGGACCGTCCTCCGATGCCGTCCTCTGACTTATTCCCCGTTACAGTCAAACAAGCCCCAACACTCCGTACTTCCTCTTCCTCTGCCAACAACTGTGTTCCTTTGCCATCTTCTCTGGGTCTGAATCAGTCCAGACGAGAATAGCAAGTGCGGTTCCGTGAGCAGCCGTAGAAATCTATTCCCTGCAGAGAACCTGGGGAGCTGCGCCTGTGGGAAGCTAAGGCGACACCGCTGGCCTTGGTTTCCCCCAGACATAAATCTTCCTGTTTTACCAGTCACCTCACAACAATGCATGGCCAAGCCGGGCTGTGATTAAAGGGGAGAGCATGCTTATTACCCAAGCTCTTCACATGTTGGAGCAAGAGGAATCAGGGCTGGTGAACCGAAGGAAATTTCCATCCGCTCTTACCTAGTGCACATTCTTATTCTATAGGAAAGTTAGCTGTTATTAAGTAATCATGTTCAGCTGAAGTTGGTCACTCATAACAACAGACAGATGTATAATGTTTTATTTGGGTTAGCCAGCTCTCTTGCAAATAAAGAGCCTGAAATTAAACTGTCTTTACAAAAATATTCAGCAAATGATACCTCTGGCTTATTCCAGTGCTTGGATTCTTTGCCATGGAAAATGGAAAATGAGTCTCCCGTTGAACCTGGTATCTGTTTAAACTTGTCTTTGCTGAGTAGAAAAAGGTTGATGTTCTCTGGAATGAAAAAAAAAATACTAAAAAAGAATCTGCATTTGAGGAGTGAAGGGTATAAGTATGCAAACCACATTTGGGGATGGAAAATGATTTTTTTTAGTACTTATGGAATTTGAAACAATAATAATGGAATGGAAACATAGGAAAAAGGCTGAATATCTGACCACAGAGGCCAATTGGATCATTAGATGTTCACATGCAAGGAGGAATGTGGGATTTGTCTTTAAAACAACAATCGATGCTTTTCCAATGTATAATGGGATGAAAGAAAGCTCTCTGACTTACTTACCAAGCCACCACTGCAAACTCTCACCACACGGCCCTTTGGGAAATGGAGTTCTTTTAAAGACACAGGTTCTTGGGGAGCCACCCCAGAAATTCTGGTTTAGGAGCTCAGGTGCAGGACCTGAGAATCTACATTTTTAACAAGTTCTCCCCAACGAGGCTGATGCTGCGGTTGGAGGTGGTAAAGGAGGAGGGCTCTCCAATGCTCCCCTGTCTTCAGTATCTGGTGAGAGGGACAGCTCACCTCAGAGTGGTTCAGGACAACAGGGAGAGATCTGCCTGTGGAAAGGACTCAGAAACACAAAGCCTGTTTGCAGCCCCGGCCCTGTTACTGTCTCGGCAACCTTGAACAAGTAACCACCCTTCTGGATCTTCTTTTTCTATGGATATAAACAGTAGTGTTGAGACCAGGTCAGTATTCCCCAAAGCGTCTCCCAATGTCAGATCAAGGGCATGACGCCTCTCTGTGTAGTTTCATGGGTTTCTTAACTATAGGACTTCTCACAGCCCATAATTGACAAATGTGAAATCTGAATCTCCAAAGGGTAGAGACAATGGGGTTTGGGGGTTCCATAGGCAAAGCTTTCCAAACTCATTGGACCACAGATTCCTTTAATTGCATTCTTCCGACACCACACACTTGAGGGAGAGGACCCCAAGGCTTCCTGCCCTGGAATCCGGGCTCTGGGTCCTCCAGGGTTCTCAGCCAGCATGGTGCGAAAGCTGCTCCAGGGTGATGCCTGTCATCCAAGGTAGACACCTGGAGGAATGTTCAACTAATGGCTCCTTTTGCCAAAAATCCTCCCCATTTTTTTTCAGGACAGTACCTGAACTTCTAGTGCCTGGAAGGGCCTCTTGGATAACTGGGCTCCCACCCGAGTGGGAGCTCCATACTCCTGGGTTTAATACCACCGCCTTTCTCCCCCGCCACACCATAGACACATTCCCATGTCCTTGCTCATTTTCTCTGGGTTCTCTGGGACTCTATAAGCAGGGAATCATGTGGACCACCATTCTCAAAAGGTGGTTTCGGGCAGACAGCAGCCGTGTCACCTGAGAACTTAGACTGTAGCTCCTCGGGCTCCACCCTGGCACTGCTGAGCCAGGGACTGTGTGCTGAGGCCCAGCCCTACCTGCTTATCAAGTCCTCTGGGTGATTCTGATGCTCTCGGAAGATCCAGAATCCAAGGCAGGGTCAACAGACTCAAACAGACCTTGTGCATATCAGTGTCCTTATCTGAAATACGGGAATAGCACTTACTTTAGAGTCCATGTGAAATCTAAAATATCGTGTCTCATGACAGCCTGGCATAGACTAGGCCATGAATTAATTACAGCTATTTACTCCACCCTGGATGCAAAGTCATGGTGAGCGTGGGCAGATTTCATGCCTCTTCTCACTGGACCATGAGACGGGGGGGCCCCCTACGAGCTGGTTGTGATGGGTGCAGATAGGAGCACACTTATGGAGGCAGACAGAGCTGGTCTGCTAAGTCCTCCAGGGATTGACCTTCTGTGCATGTGCAAATTAATCTTTCTAAGCTTGGTTTCCTCATTCAGAAAATGGAAAAGAGTATTTCCTCATACGTAAAATGAGAGAGTAGATTTTTAAAAATGTACTTCCTTGCTTTGAAAAGTGTCTTTTCTGATTGACCTTTGCCAATCAAAAGCTGACAATTATATAAAAATGGTGGCCCCCCAGCACAGTGTGTTTATGAGAAGACTGTCATAAGGCCCTCAGGGGCTTCCTGCTCCACACAAGATGAGAATGGCAGGATGGGGTGCCTTTATAATGCTCCCTGAAAGGTTATCTTGTCATGATGGATTTAAATATTGACTTAGAATTAATGTCACAAGAAGAATCAACCACTCTGTCTATGTTGTCCCCAGGGATCAGGCAAACCTTTCTTCCAGTTAGAACTCTGATAAATTTGGATTCTGTCTCCTTCAGTGTCTCATCGTAGACCAACATTTGGAGTTTGCATTAGGGGTATTTCAGGATGTCATGTCCTTCCTTGAAATGCAGTACCTTTTAGGTCAGGAATGCAATCCAAGCTACAAAAGCATGGAATTAAGGGTACCTCTGTGGACAGGTTTGCACTAGGTTTTGCCTCTGTAACAAACAACCCCAAGTTCTCTGCAGCTTACAGCAGCAAGGCCCTTTCCTACCTGTTTGCAAATCAACTGTGGCCCTGGGTATCTCATCCTAAGACAGCCCATCTTGAGACCTACCTGAGAGCAATGGCAGACTCCAGTGAGGAGACCAGTGTCTCTGCCCAGTACAGGTTGAGTCATGGCCACTCACTCACACGCCTTTGGCCAGGGCAAGCCTCGTGGCGACCCCTGACACAGGAAGTAGAAACACACACCCCTGTAGGAGCAGGCCCAGAGAAGGCTCAAGCAGAGGGGTAGCAAAAACCTGGAGCAACATACGGCCACCCACAATAGCCCTAGACTGCCGCAGCTACCTCTGTAAGGCTCTGCGTTCACGTCCTAAGGCACAGGTCATTGAGCTGGAGCTTACAAATGTGCAGACATCTCTGGTCACCCTTCCCCTCCCATCCTATGATTCTCATGGAGAAGAATGAGCAATTCCACAGTTTCCAGAAAGCTGACATTCTTTCCAACAGTCCTCAGTGGCCTGTGGGAAAAAGTGAGTTTGCAGAAGGTAAATGAAAGTTCCCCAGAAGATAAAAACCAAAGGATTGCCCACTGGAATCTGCTGAGTTGCCTCCGGGTATCTTGTTCTTTTTAAAGACCACCTGGGCAAAGCCATTTGTACACTCATCTCTTCATCATTGATGAAGTCAAAGCCATGGATTCAGAAGTGTCACACCAGCCTCTGAAGAGACCAGTGGACAGCTTTAGAGAGCAGGGAAGGAACTGGCACATGGCCAAAGTCAAAGGTCCCTATGCATGTGTCTCTGTGGCCAGTCACAGGAGCCCAAGGAGAAGAGTTAAGCCTCACTGGTTTTATTTTCAATTACTTTGAAAACTTCTGAGCTCAGTGAACCCCATGTAGATTCTTGTCAAGCATTTTATTCTACTTAATATTTAAACCTGTGTATACTTAAAGTGAAATTTAATGCAAGTATTTTGGGTTTGTAAACAGAGAGAGAGATCATCAAAAAAATTGATGTGTCAGAAATACTTGACACATAGAGAAAACCTTTTAAGCAAATGAGAAGCCATGTTTTGTCAGAGCGTAAAAGTCAGATCTTCCACATGCTGTTTAGTCTAGAAGAACAAAGTTACAATTCGATTCCAATGTCATTCCTCCAAGCCACACCCCCTCCTTTGCAAGAGGTCTCTGCAGACCTGGGTGAGAAACTCCAGTTTGAGGAGCCAGTGCCCCTATATTGTTTCCATAGGTGAAAAAATATACATATGTATAATACATAACTTACATCTATTATACATTTATACATATGCATTATATATATACACTATATATAGTGTGTATGTATGTGTGTGTATATGTATGTATGTATATACATATACATACACACACACATATACACACACACACACACAATTCTGCTGCTTGTGTCCACCAGGGAACACAGAATGAAGGTTTCCCAGGGGAGGCAGAAATTGAAAACTTCCAAAATTTGAATGGGGCTCTAAGTTTTCAGAAGGTCTCAATGTTGTGCTCATGAGGAAGGGGAAAATCATTTTTAAACTGATTTTTTTTCCTAAAAACTCATCCATTTGACATGTGTCAGATCTAATTCTTGAGACTTAGAAAAAAACAGTATTGTATAAACAGGGGATGGCTACCAGAAGGGATGGGTTGAAGTCTGTTGTGGAAATTAGAGATCTCTCTGCAATTAATTTTAGCTAGAATTATTTGTGTTATAATATATATTTAACATAAAATAAAAGTGTCATCATAGTTATATTTTCCCTAGCATAATATTTGCATAATGTTTACATATGAATATAAATAACATGTTACAGTTTTGATCAGATTCTCCATACATCCCGGCTTTAAAAAATTCATACCTAGCCTTGGGCCACTGGAGAGATGGTCTTCATCTGTGAGGAGAACAGAGCTGGGTGTTCCTGAAGACAATCTGCGGGTGTTCCTGGGGTCTGCAAGCAGTAGTGCTATTTCAGGATGCTGAGGCTCAGGGAGGGACGAGGGTTTTCCCACATGATGTGGGCATAGCCCCACATCAGTGTGGTGGCTCCCAGAGTGTGTGTAGGAGCAGCAGCCACCTCACTGGGAACTTGCTAGACATCCGGGTCCTTGGGCTCCACCTCGACCTGCTAAATGAGGACCTCAGCCCTCGGTCATTCTAGTGCAGGGGCACCTTGAGGGTTCTGTCAGGGAGGTGTAGGACTGCCATGTGCCCAAGGCTGGGACCTGGATGAGTCACTTCCCCTCTCTGGGCCTGGGTGTCCTGGTCAGGGAGACGATGGTGCTCACCTGGCAGGGCTGCTGTGAGGGTTAGCACAGCTAAGGAAAGTGTCCGCTGGAAGGTGGCAGCCTCTGGTCTATTTGTGGTGATGATTCTTGCTATTGATTTGGCCCTCATTACTATTACCACTCATCTAAGTCTCTCTTAGTTATTTTGATTACTGCTGTTTTGTTTATTAGCATCCTTCCCACTTGTTCTGATGCTCTTCCTGCTAGCTATTGGCCTCTGTATTTCCTCTATCTGGTTAGTAGCTCCAGGGCCTCTCGTGAGTGTTCTTTCTGACAGAATACTGTCTTCCAGCTTGCCGTGATTGGTTTCTATGACCCTCCACTCTGACAAGAGCCTCTCTTTTTGATAGAATTTCCCTGAAAATACGATGGGGACTCCTGTTCTGTCTCCCCATCTCCTTTTTCTGCCCCAACTGGAAAGTGTAGCTCTTCCAACATTCTTTGTACGACTAAGATTTTTTTTTCAATTTGCCTACTGTTCAGTTCCATTTTAAAAATATGTTTCTTTTTTCCCCTTAATCTCCAGAAAACAAATGCTGTGCAAAATCAGGGCTAAATGATATCACACCAAGTGTCTTTTATTGCCTTGAAGTAAGAAAGGACACTATTGTCCCCTCCATTCAGAAGTTCCAGGGACTTCACTTCAATAATGATATTGCCAATCTGGGAACTGAAATCCCAGCCCACAGATCAAAACAACCTAACAAATGCCAGAGAAAGGAATATTATGTCTAGAAACTCAAGAAAACTGCTTGTGGTTTGTACTAGAATATTGTTGATCTGGAGGATTAAGAGAGGGGGGAATTAGAAGAGAATATTCTTTGGTCATTTTTCCCATCATGAAGTTTTGGAAAACTGTTATTGTCTCTCAACATCTTAGAAGTTAAACAGGTGGAACCCAGAATCACTGAGGGAGATAAGTCCAAGGCAATAAGATGACAGCATGTGAAATAAGGTGTGTCCACAAAGAAGTAAATGTCCTGATAAAAGGACAAATACTATTAATTTTAAGAGTATGCATCAATACCGATGACAAGTACTGATACCAGTCATGGACGCAGAGGAAACTCTGGGTGGGAACAGAGTTTGCCCAGCATGCTGTGACCACACTGGTATCAGCCTGGAGGAAGCCACACTGGCTGGTGACTGGGGACAGTTTGACTATAAAACGGTAATTACTGGAAGTAAATGGTAGATCAGAAATAAGCATGAGCTGTGTGCGTGTGTGTGTGTGAGACAGGTGAAAGTTGTGGGCGTAGACAGACAGATGACAAGCAACAGATGACAGGTAGGAAGGTGCCTGAGACACAGGTGGAAAACGGTGGTTTGAGAGACTACAGACGATGGTGGGACGTGATGGACACGAATATCCAAAGTCCAGGTATGCAGACACGAGTCGGTGTGACTATACTTTGTGAACAACCAGAGATATGAAAAACTGTGCTCTATGTGTGTAATGAGAATTGTAATGCATTCCAGGGTCACATATAAATAAGAAAATTAATAAAAGTTAAAAAAGAAAGATTAAAGATGAAGGATAAAAAGATAAAAGATAAAAAGATGATAGCTAGACGGATGACAGATGGACAGATAACAGATAGATTGATGATTGGTATGTAATCAAAATAGATATAGGTAAGTAGATGCATGACAGATAGATAGATAGATAGATAGAGGAATAAGTAGGCTGCAAAAGAGCCTCTTGGATTTACAGCAGGTTATCTGAAGAGTGGGGAGGATTTTGTACTAACGAGAAGGCTGGCTCAGCTCCAAAGCCTCTGGACCTCCTTCCTCCCCCTGCACCCAGCTGCCAGGCCGCGATCTCCTCCTCCGTGCGGTGTGTGTCGGAGGGGACGGCTGTGACAGTGCTCTCCACTGGACGCTCTATGACTCAACGGTCGCGATGCGTTTCCACAGGCGGTAGACTATTCTGGACTCTTCCTTCCAGGCTCACTGTTGACTTCCTCTGCACTTCCCCTTCCTGCCTCCCTGAGCGCAGGTCAGCGCCGGGGGCCTCCATGGGTGGGTTAACCCTGTCCGTCCAGCGTGTTTGGCAGCGAGCTGTCTCCAGGCACTGGGGATTCTGCAGGAGGGCTGTGGGGGTGGCTTCGGTTTCATTCTTCAAACTTTCCTTGAGCCTTTACCCTAGTCTGGGCACCGTGCCAGATGACCAGGGAGAGCGGAAGGTAAATGCCAGGGCTGTGGCCCTCGGGAACCGTCGGGGGCCAGCTTGGCTGGGTGCTCTGAGCAACCACCTGTGAACACCACGTGTCACTCTTTCTTTCAGGCAGGAGCAGAGTCCCATGGTAGCCAGGTGGGTGAAGGGGACCGAGGACGTGTCACCTGCCCTGAAGAAGACTCCCTGTGACCTGCCAAGTGAGTGACCAGCTAGCAAACGGTCTGAGGGCAGAGGGCACTCAGGGGAGGGAGAGGGACAGTGGTGGTGGCAGGTCCCCCAACCGATGTCCACCAGCTGCTCTGTCTTCCACAGAGAGATTGGGGACCCCGTCCCCGCACAGGCCATAGGTCTTATTCTGTGATTTATGTCCATCAACCCCCAGAGGAGGCACTGGGGAGGTCACCCACCCCAGTCCAGGTGTGTGGGCCCACAGCCCCAGGGCTCCCAGCAGAGGAACAGGAAGCCGTCCCGAGCCTGGCCCGCTGCCCCTGTGGAGGAGAGGTTGGGGCAGAGCCCCAGGGCCCTACCTTCCTAGAAACAAGGCCAGGTTTCCCAGAAGCTGGCTGCAGGCTGAGCTGGGAGGTCACTTGTGGCCACAGGACACGGGTGTACACTCACACTTGAGAACTTAAGCCTCTGTTTTTACTTCACTGGGTTGAGGCAGCCACTTTACAGCCGTTTCCTTCTTTCTCGGTTGAAGTGCATGCAGTTACTTGGTGTGAGCTGTGCTGGCCTTTGGCAGAGCTCATGTTGGAAGCTGGCCTCTGCATCTGGGCGCCTGGGCACGGTGCACCCTCTGCAAAGCTCCGCTGGCCTCGCTTCCCCTCCTTACACCAGCAAGTGGGTCCCGGCACAGGAGAGGGAAGGCTGTGCTCACCACCCACCTCCTGGGCTTCCCTGCGACCTGGATCCCAAGACGGGTGTGACAGGCGTCAACCCGTAAAAGGGATTCTGCATAACGGACAGCCCCTCTCTCCAGTGGCACTGACAAGGGGCTTTCCAAGAAAAGAAAGTCGCTTCAAGGGGACATTTAGTAAATGATGTACCCTTAATAAAGGAGCAGGAAATCGAAATGCCCAGCTGGCCCACTGCATCCTGAGCAGGGGTGGGCTCAGGTGGACACCCTTTCCATTTCCTTGAAGGGTTTTTCCTGGAGGATTACTTCTAAAACTTTTATTGGGACCATGCCCCTCTAACAGAAAAGGTCGCTGCATGAATCATGAACCACTCTATATCAGTTCCTTTTTAAAGAGAAAATTTGTTTCTAATTCTTAAAATACTGGTGAGGTGGAAAAAAACCCTGGCGACCAGGTGAAGTTATCCCTGTAGTCACATGTTAACCTTTTCAAGGAATGTCCAGGCAATTCGTCTCGGTCACCGGGGAGGTACTAAAGGAGTCTGTGCCCAGCCAGCTTGCTCCCAGCTGTTAGCACAGAGCAGGCGTCCCTGGGGCCAGCTGTGAGAGCCAGTGCAGCTTCCAGGCAGGTGTTTCTGATCCCATGTTAGATGCCCACACTTACCTACTTTTTCAAGTGCTCTTTAAAATAAATCTCTCTTTTTGGTTCTACTGCAGAATTTGCTGTGACTATATTTTTGATTGTTTGAATTTTTTCCAGTGTCCTCAAGAACTAAAAGAGGTCATAGATTCCAACTTTTCATTGAGTCAGGGAGGAAAATTGTAACAAAAAATATGGGGCGTATGGTAGGTGAGAAATCTGTTTTGCTTAGCGTGATATTCTCCAGCTCCATCCATTCCTTGACAAATGCCAGTGAATGATTTTATTCTTCTTTAAGGTTGAGTAATATTCCATCGTGTACATATACCAGATTTTCTTTATCCATTCATCTCGGTTGGCTCCATAGTTTGGCTATTGTAAACTGGGCTGCTATAAACATTGATGTGGCTATGTCACTGTAGTATGCTGATTTTAAGTTCTTTGGGGTATAAACCAAGGAGTGGGATAGCTGGGTCAAATGGTGGTTCCATTCCAAGTTTTCTGAGGAATCTCCATACCACTTTCTATAATGGTTGCACAGCAGTGTATGAGTGTGCTTTTTCCCCTATATCATTGCCAACATTTCTTGTTGCTTGTCTTCATAATTTCCATTCTGACTAGGGTGAGATAAATCTTAAGTCAGTCCACCCCCTAAAAAACACAAAGGCCAAATCTTTTCTCTGATATGCAGATTCTATCTCACAATAAGGTTGGAGTGGTGGGGCTAGGGAAGAATAGAGGTACTTTGGATTAGGCAGAGAGGAGTGAAGGGAGGGGAGGAGGTATGGGTGTAGGAAGGAGAGTAGAAGGAATCAGACATTACACCCTATGTACATGTATGATTACATGACCAGTGTGATTCTACATCATGTACAACCAGAAGAATGAGAAATTATACTCTGTTTATGTATGATGTGTCAAAATGCATTCTAATGTCATGCATAACTAATTAGAACAAGAACAAAAAGTTTTTAAAAATTTTATTGATATTGTTTGAGTTGTAAAAACTTGTACCAATATTCTCCATTACTCTATCAAAAACTCTCTATGTGGCAGCTTTTAGCTGCTTGAAAAATATCTGATTTTCTAGAATAGAAATCATGATAGCTGATGGTAATGTTCATAGTGTTCCCTGAGATGTGTGCAGAACAGTGTGTGATCGCAGCTCTCCATCTCATTTAATCCTCACAGACACCCTGAAGAGCGGGATTGATTCCCATTTTAAATATTAAAGAGCTGAGGTCCAGAGAGTTTAAATATCTGTGGTCACACAGCTAATAAATTGCAGAATCCACGTTTTACCCACCTTTGCTGTTCTCGGAGCCTAGGTTCCTGCTCTGCCCTCCTGGCAACCTCCAGTCCACACCCACTGGTCTCCCTTCACAAGTCTCCCCTTCCATAGGTCCGAAATTCAGTCCACAGGTCTGCATCCACAGATTCAACTAACCACAGACAGAACATGTTGGTTAAAAAAAAAAAAATTCAGGACTGTGTTGAACATGTACAGACTTTCTTCTTGACCTTACTCTCTAAACAGAACGTCACCACTATTTGCATAGCATTCATGTTGTATTCAGTGTTATAAGTAATCTAGAGATGATTTGAACTCTTCGGGAGAGTAGGCATAAGTTATATAAAACACTGGGCCATTTTATATTAGGGACTTGAGCACCCTTGGGACCTGGCATCCACGGGGCATCCTGGGACCTATCCTGGGGTGCCCAGTGATGACTGCCCCTTCACAGTTATTTCATGTGATTACTTTATGTCTAGTCTCTGGAAGTTCCATGACACATCCCTGTGACATCTTCCTTTGTCATTTCCATAGGTGGTCTCAAGAGCTTGATGATGGACGCCATTCACATCAGCATGTCCGGTGCCCCCCTGGTGAAGCACACTGCCGGGGCTGGACTCAAGGCCAGCAGACCCCGGGTCATGTCCAAGAGCGGACACAGCAACGTGAGGATCGACAAGGTGGACGGCATCTACCTGCTGTACCTGCAGGACCTGTGGACCACTGTCATCGACATGAAGTGGAGGTACAAGCTCACCCTGTTTGCTGCCACTTTTGTGATGACCTGGTTCCTTTTCGGAGTGATCTACTACGCCATCGCGTTCATTCACGGGGACTTAGAATCCAGGGAGCCCATCTCCAACCACACCCCCTGCATCATGAAGGTGGACTCCCTCACGGGGGCCTTTCTCTTTTCCCTGGAGTCCCAGACCACCATCGGCTACGGGGTCCGCTCCATCACAGAGGAATGCCCGCATGCCATTTTCCTGTTGGTGGCTCAACTGGTCATCACGACCTTGATTGAGATCTTCATCACGGGCACCTTCCTGGCCAAAATCGCGAGACCCAAAAAGCGGGCCGAGACCATCAAGTTCAGCCACTGCGCGGTCATCACCAAGCAGAACGGGAAGCTGTGCTTGGTGATCCAGGTGGCCAACATGAGGAAGAGCCTGCTCATCCAGTGCCAACTCTCTGGCAAGCTCCTCCAGACCCACGTCACCAAGGAGGGGGAGCGGATCCTCCTCAACCAAGCCACCGTCAAATTCCACGTGGACTCCTCCTCCGAGAGCCCCTTCCTCATTTTGCCCATGACATTCTACCACGTGCTGGATGAGACCAGCCCCCTGAGGGACCTGACTCCCCAAAACCTAAAGGAGAAGGAATTCGAGCTGGTGGTGCTCCTCAACGCCACCGTGGAATCCACCAGCGCCGTCTGCCAGAGCAGAACGTCTTACATCCCGGAGGAGATCCACTGGGGTTTCGAGTTTGTGCCTGTGGTTTCTCTCTCCAAAAATGGAAAGTACGTGGCCGACTTCAGTCAGTTCGAGCAGATCCGGAAGAGCCCAGACTGCACCTTCTACTGTGCGGACGCCGAGAAGCAGAAGCTCGAGGAGAAGTACAGGCAGGAGGATCAGAGGGACCGCGAGCTCAGGAGCCTTTTGTTACAGCAGAGCAACGTCTGACCCGGGGTGGCGCCTGGGCTCCCCTCCAGAGCCTTCCCCACATCCGGGCTCCCTTCAAACACACGTTTGCTGTGAAAAGGAAAACGTGTGACACACGCCACACACAGTGTGGACATGCTCAGGCCGCAGCTCCCTTTCATCTGGAGGCTAAACAAGCGCTTCCCCCTGGACAGGGTTCTTTTGAAGTGCTTCCTTGGAAGTGACCTCTAAGAATTCAAGTTTTCTGAGATGGGGATGCACTTCAAAGAACGGGGTGTAGCGCAATAGCAATGACGTCCTGCTAAGTGACAGACATTGAGCAATGCCGATATTGAAAGGCAGTGCTTTTCTCTACAGGAATGTCAGCTAGAATATGAGGTATTTATTTAATCCAAGTATCAAAGGCATTACTGTTGAGGGTTAAAATGTGGGTCAGTATTCACTTGTATTATTGCTCTAAAATATCTTCTTTTTGTCCAAGCAGAGAAAATGTTATATATAATGATGGCTATCTGGTAATGCTTCAAGAGGGACTATACTCACAAAATACAGCCATTCCATATTTACCATCTTCAGCAGACTGAATTGATCAAAGCAGGAATTAACAATTGCAAAAACATTCCATGTCCCTATGTTGTTATTCCCACTAAATATTTTGATGGGATGTCTAAGCCCCTTTCTATTAAAAACAAAATGTGGTTGAACTGCTGACAGCATCATCTAGGGACTTATGAACAGCACCAACCAACAGGTCATCGGGTACCAGCTGACCTTGCGGGACTAGTGTCTGTATCTTAACAGTTCCCCCTGGTGATGTGTGCTCAGATGAAAGTTGGAGGTCTCTGCCGTGGCCAGGGTTTCCAAAGTCCCTCTCTGAATATCTGTGGAGAACTAACTCTGTGGGTCCCGTGCCTGGCCTCCAGACCCGTCCTCTCGTTAGCTCTTACAGCTGACCAACGTCTCTTTCAGGCGCTTCACCTCTTGCCTATTAAAATACCTTGCCCACAAAGGAACTGCGGAGAATTATCCACTGATGTCCACAGAGAGCTCTTGAGACTCGTGGCGTCTCCTCAAGCTCAGAACACAGCTGGATGATCATGGTCACCACAAAGAAAATATAAGTCTTATGGCAATATACAACGTTCGCTCAGAGGTGGTAGTTTATGCGCTTGGGTGGGCTGTGAGAGAGAAGGAGATGAGGGCAAGCAATTCATAAGCAAGAGGACCTCTTGAGCCGGATGCGGTGGTGCACGCCTATGATCCAAGCAGCTTGCGAGACTGAGGCAGGAGGATCGAAACTCAAAGCCAGCCTCAACAACTTAGTGAGGCCCTAAGCAACTCAGTGAGACCCTGTCTCTAAATAAAATACAAAGAATGGCTGGGGATGTGGCTCAGTGGTTAAGTGCTCCTTAGTTCAATCCCTGGTACCCCCCCCCAAAAAAAAAAAAAAAAAAAACTCTCCTTGCAGGAACAAAATTTGTTAATCTCATAACATGTAAAAAAAAAAAAAAAAAAAACCCTCAGTGTTTAAATACATCTCATACAGCTCAGTGTTACAGAGGTAACATTTTGCCTCCGGCAAAATTTAGGAGCCCAGTGCCCTGCATTTCTTTGGGGAAGAGAGTAAATGGTCCAGGATTGATTAAATGTGCAAAAGATGAATGCTCATTTTATTCAAACCAAGACAGATTTGCATATTCATTCAAGCAGAACACAACTAAGAATTGGAGAACAGTGCACACACCCACGTGAGCCCCCAGGCACGTGCACACACGCGCACACACGTAAGCCTAGCTGGCTCTTCAGGCAGGCTCATGGAGTCACGCACGAAAGACATTTGCCATTGAGACCCAGTTCTCCACCATCATGCTCACGTGTGCTTCATCCTGTGAGAGTATAAACATTGGGACTCACAGAACCTGGCGACAGCAAGCTAGCCTCGAATGGTCCGGGAAGTGGTGACTTGCACTGCACCACATCTCCTCATGGCTTCATGTTACCACACTTGCAAGTGTCTTTGCTGAAACACAAACGTGTAAATAATGTCTCCAGCCTGGGACTGAACTAACCTATTGCAAATGTGAGAGTAGCACAGGCAAAGTTTGTAAAGATTTGAAGAAAAATCTCAACCCAAATGAGAGGAGGATTTTGTCTTTAATTATTCAGGAGGTTTTTTTTTTCCTTCTTTCTTTTTCTGTTGATAATTTCATGGCAGTGTGCTTTAGACCTCCATTCTTTTAAAAAATAGTACATGTTACTGTAGTTAGACATTAGCCCTTCTAGATATCGTATTCATTTATCTTTATTGTATATGGTGGTATAATCAACAGGGAAATAATGCCAAAGGCACGTTTACAGATTTTTTTTGGTTGCACTATTAAATTCTTTTTGAAGTATTTACATCAATACTATTCTGAATGTGATCAAAATTAGGATGCTAGCTTATCTATATTGTATGTGGTACATATACATAAGCATAGGATTCAGAGAACTTTTGTGTGTTCACTTAGCATATCCTATTAGCCAGATTTGGAAGACTTGATAACCTGATCTTTTGCACTACATACAAAACTACATGTGGTATCTTAAAAGCCAACACACGTGTAAGTCAACAAATCACAATATGATGCTCAATAAGTAGTTCTAAAGTTGTGTCTGGATTGAAACCTGTTGTTTTCCTGACACACCTGAGTGTTATTACTTCATACTGTAAATATGCTAACAAGGAGTTCAGGTAGCCGTTTGTTTGATAATACCCTGGACAGTCCACAGATTGAAACAGATTCCGGCTAAATATCCAACTAAGGAGTCACATCTGCTGGGTTAGATTTGACCCGACCAACCTCTTGCATTGTGAAACATGTCCAACGCATTAGGCCTTGTTGGTGAGCCCATTTGAAAACGTTGTGCTCCATCTGGGAACCTGCAAAGTCAACAGCAGTAGTATCCACGAGACCCAAGTCTTCTTCCAGGAACAAAACAGACCCTACTAACATGGCACCTTAGCCAGCGGCCCCAGAGAGCACAGCCAGAGTCAGCTTACAGATCTCCCCGTGAGCCACTGCCGGGCTTGGGGAGGCACACTGGGTCCCTGTTTCACTCATGGGGAAATGATAACACGAGTTACAGTTTCCAGAAACTTTAGATAACTAGCTAATGTGGAAACATAACCATTAATTAGTGGAACAAATATCTAGATAAATTTAAAGACTTATCTTGTTTGATTTTTATTTGAATTAAATTCCTAATTTCAACAGACTGTGATTTTAATATTGTTGAAATGTGAAATAACATACATTTTAAAGTGGCCCTTCTACTCTAAGATGATTCTCCCTTGCTTGGATCCTCAGTGCACCTGTCACGTCTGAAGATGAGAGAAAAAGGAAGGAAAGAAAGAGAAGGGAAAGGCTTTGGGGTGGTTGCTCAGTGCGGGATCATGCTGGGCTTGGTTCTGTGTGGTGTTACGGGGTTTGACCGTGACCCGTGAGGCCAGTCGTGGCTTTGGGTCTTGCTAGACTTTCCTTTGCCTGTTAAAGCGTTGAAATGACTGTTTTAAATGGAAGTTACTCTGTTGGAACTTGCCATGATGTGATTTTTTTAATGAATGTTGCCAGCATTTCGAGTCTTTGTTTCCTGGGACTGGGCAGTGTCCACTTGGAATCCAGCATGCCGTTTCCTGATCCTGGATAGGTCTAAGATGCACTTGGCTTTCCTCCTCCCAGAGAACTGGCACTTCAGGGTCGAGAGCTTAGCATTTCACTTCTCAGTGACTAATTTCACGCCTTTTACCTTTTGTGAACTTCAGTGTCTTCCATCAGAGGGACTCGCAGCCAGTCTGGACCTGGGAGTGCTTTTTTGCTCTCAGAATGAACACGACTTCTGAGCAGCCCTAGAGTCTCCAGAGTTGGAATCCACAATGCAACGATGTGATTAAAATGTAATGGGATTTGGAAAATAAAAGGGCTCCTTAATTTCTTGGGGCATTATCATTTGTTAATATCTCTATTTTTATTGTTGTTTATTCTTTAAGGGAATCTGAAACAGAATCTTTGTCTTCAAAGTAAGGACAGGAGTGAAAAAAAGTGTAAGAAACTAAGCGTCAATCACCTAGATTTTCTAACAGGGGAAACAACTGTGTGTGGGGGTGGGGAATCAGTTATTCCACCTCACATTCCAATAAACCACCACCACATTCTTCTGGCTTCCAGGAGAAGCAGTTCCCAGTCTCCCCAGCACCAATGGGTCATGTTCAACTCTTTTCCAAAGGTTTGCCCCTAGATTCTTAATGGAAAAGAAAATGTAGGGCAAAAATAAAGTTACAGTCATTGCAGGCCATCTTTGTGCTGTGGCTCTCAGGTCCCAGCCTATCGCCCTCCTACTGGACCTGTGCGTGTTGCCTTCCTTCATGTTCTCTATCCACTCTACCCAGTCAGATACTTTGATGGGTCAAGAAAAAAGTCCAAATGAGAAATTGTGGACATTTAGATACTCAAAAAATGATGGCAGGAATTTCCATTTTTCAATTGGTCTATGGGTGGCGGGTAAAAATAGAAGACCAAGAGAAAACTGTTGGTTAGATTTAATAGTTAATTCCTAATATGATTATAAAAATAAGCTGCGAGGTCAGGGGACATAACTGACACATGAGTGTAAAAGCCAAGGATGCTGTAAATGCAGGTAAAAGCCATCTCCTAAGGATGCTGTATATGCAGGTAAAAGCCATCTCTTACCAGGGAATGTAACACCAGAGTCAGGAATTCCAGGTGCACTGGACATGAAGGACATGTCCTACACTTAGTGATTTCTGTTCTCTGTCTTGTATGGACTTCCTTGAAACACCCTAAACGTTCAGTGGCCAACTTTTTAATTCTTGGCAAAGCGGCCTAGGCAATCCAAAAACACCCTCACATTTAACTGAAAGTCCTTGTATTTATTTGTCCAACCTGACAAACCTGTGGAGAGTGATCACACAATTCTGGTCATGGTCATTTCTAGGGCAGACACACATTCACGTCCTTTTTCTGGAAGGTCGTGGTTACTCCTAAAACTCCTGGCAGAGGAAGGGACGCTCTGGGAACACCCCCGCCCCCCAGCTGGCTCCATTAGCAGAAGTGAGCGGCAGCCCACCTGGGCGTCCTGCATGTGACTCCTGCATCTGCCTCCCCAGGGGGGCCTTCCCTGGGCCCCACCCTGGAGACAGGCACTCAGTTGCCCCCCCACACCCAGGAGCACAGACTCTCGGGCCCCACTTGAGGCACCAGGCCAAGGGTTTCAGATTCCTCATCAGCACTAGGAGGGCGAAATCATAGAAGACTCCACCGAGAAATCCATTCCCAAGTTTCCCTCGCTTCAAACCACCACACAATCAGCCCTCAACTACAATTTTATTTTGGTTTGAGGCTGAATCTTTTCTAGTACCTATGCCTTCCCACCCTCTTAGGATATCTAATTTCACTCCTCAAAAACACTGAAGTAGATAAAAAGTGAACCCACTTTTACATTTTAAGGGAATGGCCACAACAGATTATGGAGTACCCATTCCCCTGAGAAAAAAGTCAGAAGCTGTTGACTCTGAGCTAGGAAACGCGTGACCTCTTAGCTTATGATTCCAAGTATTGTTGTTATTCCAAATCAGAGAAAAGCAAAGCGCTTCGGAGAAGGGCAATAGGAGGAAATTCAAAGGAAAGTCGCTTTCCTTCTCGGTGGTTCCACTGCGTTCTTTCATCTTCAATGAAACCTGAGAGTGAGGATGTTTTACCAAACCCGATCCTTACAGGAAGCATGACTGTGTCAGGGACTTTCTACAAAAACAAACCTGCAGATCACAAAAGGAAGCCGTGTCTGTGCACTGATGGGCGTTTCGCAGCAGCCAGCAGAGGAAGGTGGGGGACAGCCACCTGGGATCAATGTTTGAGGAATTATTTCTGTAGGGTGTCATGGGACTGTAAGTTACCAAATGGAGCCTTTGGTAACCAGAATCTCCATTCCATGAACACCAACGCTAAGATCCTACTTAGTGAAGTTCACGGAAATGTGATGGGGGTGGGGATCCCTAGGACACACAGATTTTATTAGTAAACAACCCCACCACCTGTAGCTCTTGATGGCGCACTTACCAGAATCTTGCCCAAGCCTGGTCTCTTGCTGTAGAGAGCGCATCTTACCTCTGACCTCTGCCCACAGGAGGGTCCCTGCTTTGCTCTGGTTCTCAGCCACTGGAGGCTTGGATCAGCCTCAGCAGCACAGGGACTTGAGTTTCTCCAGGCTGAGCTGCTGCCTGGCGTGTGCTGGAATTCCAGCCCTCACCCTGCCCTTGAGACCACCAGCCCAACCACAGTGTGACTGCGCCCTTCAACTGTCCTGTGTCACTCGATGAATTCACACTCTGCTGTCACCTGGATCTCCCCCACTTAGTGATGGGGTCTCCGTAACCCGCGAAGCAATGGCATATACAATAAAGTCGATTCTGTGGTCCTGCATTTCTTTTCATTCCTGGCGATCAATCGTGGTAGTGCTAAGCTGATGGGAACGGATCTGAGTGTCCTCAGGTGGTGTGGGGATGAACTCACCTGAAATAACCTTTTCAAGGATGGAAATCACAGCAAGGTGAGGACAGCCAGGCCCTAAAAATGATTCAAGTGTTATTTCACCTCAGCAGCTGAAGGGAAGCGCCCACTTCCTTGCTAACCACAGAGCAGAGAGCAGCAGCCCTCCTCCCTGCCCTTCAGAAAGTGATCCCACATCGGGTCACTGTGACAACAGCCTTTCAGCACCAGATCCCTCACCAAAGTCCCTCGCATTTCATTACCCTTTTTCGACTTCCAGCTGCCAGCACTGGATGGATTAAGAGAGAAAATATTTAATGATATAAATCTTAAAGGCATAGAGCTGGGTGTGGCTGTAAATGACACACCTATTTAAAACCCACAAGGCAGAGATATGCATCTAAAACAGCCTGCATTCACCTAGTCATTTCCTGGGGAAACGTTGTGTTGTTGTATGTGTACGCACTCATACAACAAGGTGGTTGCCCCAGCTCCAAACACGCTTCAAGCATCCCTGTTGGAACTGTTTCCCTTGGAGCCTTGGCTCATTCATTGTGACATTCTCAGCAGTAACAAGGCTTTGCTCTCTGGGTGAGTATGGGACTGTTGGAAATAAACCAGCTAGTGCAGAGAGTAGAAAGTCAAATCTGAGGATACTACTTGGACAAAAAAAAAAAAAAAGATCCAAAACAATGTTTTCCAGAAAGTGCACAGTAACCCACTTGGAACAGAGTAGTGATGATAGACAGTGGGACACATTTATGAATTTTAATTGCATGGAATTTTTTAAACACATTTTTTCTGTCCTGTTAGCTCAGGCATTACTTGCCCTTTTGGGGTGACCTTGGCAGAGAACTCAGCTGTCTACATCCCAGATGTGAGATGGCATTGCCTTCAGCACAGCGTGTTGTGGGCAGGGACCCAGGAGTCTTAACCCTGAGTGCTCTCAGCATCCAGGCAGCTGTAATTTCCCTTCCCAGAAACCCAGGATTTCATGCACCTGCCTCTGAAGATCTCAGATGAACAAGTTCAGTGGTTTAATTTTTCATGCACAAGTCCACGTTCTTTTCAGAAACTCTTTCCTTCTACAACATATGCTTTTCTAAATCAGCCTGTTCCTGACTCGAATGTAAAGCCTGTGTTCTAATTCTCAGCAGGTCACCCATCAGGTGTGTCCTCACCAGTCCCAAGAACTGCCTTCTCTGCCTTTCTTGGTTAGTCTCTACCGAGTCACCAAAAACTTTTACTCTTCTTTTTCCATTTAAAAAAAAAGTTAACATTTTGTTCCCAATATCTATTTATTTTCCACTTACTGTTTTGAAAAATTAAATTGGCAACTAATAATGGCATGCATGTGCAGGATCTAAGGTGGTGTTTTGACACAGGTGCACTATGAGATGATTCAAGTAAGTTAGCCAACATAACCATCAACTCACCAACATGTTTTCTGTAGCAGGAAGATTCAAAGTCTATTCTTGGCAATTTTACTTGCTCAGGGTAGTATGTGGCTCTGTAACCCTGTATCCCGTGCCCAGGATTGATTTAAAGATCTGCCATGAATTTGCTACAAACAACAGACTCGCAGCCTTGCCCCTGCCAAGAACAACTTGTGCTACTTACCCCAGGCCCTGGGATGAGTCTGGCAGAGAGCTCTTTGCTACAGCATGCTGTGTGTGTCCTGTTGCTGTGCGCCTCTTCAACCCCTCCATGTCACACACACTCCCATCCCACCACATCTGGTCCACCTTGGACATGCAGAAGGCAGAGGATAAGTTGATAAGGCTCTAGTGCTTAAAAGACCTTCAAACATTCAATATCCATTTGGTCCCCGATGCAGGACGTAGGACAAATTGAATCATCTACACATCACTGAGATTTAGGGACTCCTAGTGACCCACAAAGCCAATGGCAGCAATCTAGTTCTCCCCCTCTGGTGCAGTGTTCTGTCCCCTAAGTTAACAATGTGGGAATCTCAGGGTAGAGCAGATTTCCTGTGAGGTGGGTCAGATTGGGGCCGGTGTGGCCGCAGAATGCAGCACCAGGGAAAGCATGAGGCTGGGGCAGATGGGTACCTGAAGGTCAGGGGCTCTGTCATAGGGCTTAGGACATGGAATAAGGATCCAGAAGGTAGAAAGTCATGAAATGATCAGTCAGAAAAGAGTAGAGGGATCTGAATGCCATTGACCAAGATCGAAACAGAATTCTCACCCCTGATGTTCATCTAAGGAGACACACAAAGAGTTGGCTACAGACTGGACACAGGGTGACCAGAGCTAAGAATTCCCAGAAGAAGGCCATGGGATCAAGCATACTGCCTACATGTTTTGGTTCAAAAGTCCCCACATTGCATGATATTAAGGAGCTGGGCATGACTGGGATCCTCCCTGGCCAGACCATGAGACTAAAGCTCAGAGAAGTGAAGTAGCTTGTCCAAAGTTATACACCTAGCAAG